AGACCACGCGCGAGGATTTTTTTTTTTTTTTGATTTTTTTTCGCGAGTATTTTATTTTATTTTTTTTTATTTCTGGTGATGTTGGGTGAAAATTCGTTATCTAAGCTTTTTGTGTTTTCATCATCCTTGTTAAAATTTTTTAATTTTCTTCACTCGTAATAACATCTTGTCTTCTTTTAAATAAATCATCATGCGCTGCTCTCAGCTGTTCCAAATGTTTAGTATGTTCATGTACTTTTTGGTTTAAAATAGTATCACCACTAAGTATGTAGCCAATCTTAAAAAAACATATCGAAAATTGTATATATTGTACACCTCAAACAAAATAGAATAGCTAAATAAGTAATTTTGTTTGTGGATATTTCCGCTGATACTTGTAAGAACTGTGGATATTTCCGCTAGTTTTGTACGAACAGCCGCTCTTGTTTCCGAGTTGAAATTTGAGATCTGGCTTGATTGGAATTCTTGTTCTCCCCCAAATCTCTTTTTAAGATCATTTAAAATTGTGTTAAAACATCATAGGTTGAAGACGATCCTTTTCCACTAATATTGTCAACTTCTCGGAAATGCAAATATCTTTTTAAAAGACCAACTTTTAGTGGAAGTTTTGAACCAACAGCTAAACTTTTTTGAGATCAAATCCAATAAATTCATCTTAATGATCTTTTCTTGTGTATAAAGTTTTTCCCACTCTAGACATTTTAATTTTTTAACTAGTACACATGAAAATTTAAAAATCAAATATTACAGTACTACTGTTAGCCGTTTTAAATCGCACGCTTGCTTACTAACAGAAGCATGCAGTTCCGATTCAGACCAAACCTTTATAAATTGTTTCAAGAAATTAGATATATCATATGAAGTCATATAAATGACATATAAACACCCCCTCCTCTCACTCGTAAAGATTGAATTAGAGAGATTATTCTGTAACATACAAATTTTTCAAAATAGTTTTTCCCCATAAATGGTGTATGATATAACTCAAGTGGTTAAAACGGTTCTGTTTGAAAAAGTCGATATAGTTTAGTAGCAGCGGGTCTCAAATAAGAAAATAAACATGATAAATAATTCGATGTAGAAAATTATTTTTTCTGTTTTGCTTTTTTCTGTTGTTAACTAAGAAAATAATCAAACTTAAAAGAAGGTTTTCAAATTAAACCAAAATTTTATATGAAAAAACTTTTTCTTAAAATATTTATTTTAAATTTTAAACTTTTTTTTGTTTGAAAACATTTTTTTATATACACTTCTTACCATTTTATTATAACATTTTAAAAAACATATTTAATAGATGTTTGGTTTGATTTTTTTTGCCATGTAATATTTTTAATTTTTTAAAAAAAGATTAGGTTTCACTAAATTAATTTTTTTAAATTGAATCATTAACTTGTAACAAACTATTGCGCTTTAAGCTGTATATTGAAAATACAGAAAAAGTATTAAATTAGGTTATTTAAATTTCAGATTTTGAAAACACGTTTTGAGGTAAAACACATTTTATTTCACTGTTCTTCTTACTGTTTGTCTGATTTTGCTGGTTAACTTTACTGTGTTGGTAATCATCATGCTCAGTTTATCAATTAGAAGATACCACAAATAGAGTTACTGGACACAAAAATAAAATATCACGAGCAAAGATTTCATTTTTGTGCTCGACTCTTCTTGGTTCATCACGGGTATTTGGTGTTCTGGCTGTGAAAGATTTTTCAACTGGATTTCAGTGGTTGTCCTGTGTAAAATTTCAGTGGTTGTCCTGTGTGGTTATAACTTCGTTACAAGGTTTTTGAGAAGAAAAAAAAGTTTATTGTTGAGTTACAGTTTTGGCTGCTACGTTATTGACAATACCAGGTTTCATTAAATGTGGTAGAGTCGAACATGAACAAAAAATGAATATTGACAGTTATTGTCTTTGTGTTTTCTTAAACAATCATATATATATATATATATATATATATATATATATATATATATATATATTATATATATATATATATATATATATATATATATATATATATATATATATATATATATATATATATATATATATTTATATATATATATATATATATTTATATATATATATATATATATATATATATATATATGATTATTTATTGTTGTTGTTGTTATTGTCGTTGATAATACTAACACTGTTTATTAGTACTGGCTTTGAATTTACCTTTTACTTAAAATTGTAAGTATATAGTAGAGCCTAATTATAACTTTAATTTTAAGTAAAGGTTTGTTTAAGTAAAATTGACACTTTTTATTTCTTATAATTAAGACACTAAAAAAATCATACAAAATGTTATCATACAGAAAAAAATAATCTATGTATTAGTATTTCAGTTAAATATTTAAAAAAAAAAAAAAAATTATTATTATTCAAAATGGCAACAAAACAGCAGTACGTGCGTGATGCAATTTTGCACGCTCTCAAGTGATTGTAAAAATTGTTGGATGTTCTAAAAGCACTGTGATTAGAACTTTAAATAAGTATTTGACACCAGGCCCGACGAGAGGGGGGCCAGAGGGGGTATTTTCCCCGGGCCCGTAGGGGCCCGGGCCCATCACCATCGGTCTCTTAGTCTATCAGGTCCCAGTCTCCTGGTAATCAGCCAATCTCCATCAAGCAACATTGTGTCTGCATCACTTCATCAGTTAGATAAATAAATAAATTTACTATGTAATATTGATAGGATAAATCTATTCTTTATTAATAATTTAATTTATTTAATGAAAACACGCTTTTGAGAGTAAAAACGGAGACTAATAGCCTCTAAAAGTTAAAAAATAAATAAAAGGCCACCAGCCCGCAGGTTTTTCGTAAGTTCCTTGCTCATGCCATGCTTTATAATATATATAATAGGCATATATATATATATATATATATATATATATATATATATATATATATATATATATATATATATATATATAAATATATAACTTTATATATTAAATTATATATATATATATATATATATATATATATATACATATATATATATATATATATATATATATATATATATATATATATATATATATATATATATATATATATATATATATATGTGTATATATATATATATATATATATATATATATATATATATATATATATATATAATTTAATATATAAAGTTATATATATATATATATATATATATATATATATATATATATATATATATTATATACATATATCTATTTTATTTATACAGTATATACTGTACTGTACATTAAACTGAACTTCTATTTTAACTTTTAACAATTATTAATTGTCATTTATTTTAATTTGTCAATTTACTTATTAACTTAACTAATAAATTTTTGTTCTATTGTTACAGGACCTCGCATAGGCAGCCTACTACATGCAGCAATGGATCATTACCAGCATAAATCTGGTGCTCAAAAAAGAAAAGAAAAGATTGCTCGAGAAAAATCAGCCAAGAAGGGTCAAAGTACGATTGAGTCTTTCGGATTTATAAATTGTAATCGTATTGATGGTGTTTCTGAGGATCAGATGTGCAAGATGAATTCACAACTCTTAAATGTTGAAGTAGAGCCAGTGCCAATTGAGGAAGATGAATTGTTAAATAGAAAGGTATGAGTGCTGATGTGAAAGAGAATGTAATAGACGAAAATGAAAATATTCTTCCAAAGACATCAACTGCAAGGCTAGAAGAATTACAAGACAAGGCAGATGATGTCCAACTAGTTCCATCAAATAACTATGATATTGGTTTAATTAAGGAATTATTTTGCACTGCTGAACAAATAGAAAAATTTGTTCATCATGGACCCATTGCTCACCCAACAAAATTTCCAAAAGATGCATTGCCTAAATCATTTCCACGCACGTTATTTCACATTGCCATGCCAAATGGCGAAAAAATTCCACGAGATTGGCTAACGTGGAGTGAGGCGAAGAATGCACTTTACTGTTTTCCCTGCCGACTTTTCTCTAAAATGCCAGAAACCCATCGATCGGCATTATCTCTGCCAACAGGATATTTCAAGCCCAAGGACAATAAATGGAAGAAACTTTATGAAAAAATTCCTCATCATCAATCCAGCAGTGGGCATAACATGTGTTATGTAGAATGGAGACGATTAGAAGAAAATCTCAGAGATAATACAACTATCAATTTTCTACTAAATGATAATATAAAGACAGAAGTGGAAAGATGGAGGCAAATACTTCGTAGAGTATTAGATGTTATCTTGTTTTTGGGTGAAAGAGGTCTTGCATTTAGAGACGATAGTCATCTAATTGGTGATCCCAAAAATGGGAATTTTTTGGGAATTATGGAACTCATTGGTCATTACGATTCCATTCTACATGATCATCTCGAAAAAGTAAAAGCTTCTCAACAGAGCCATAAGCGAATGCAAGCACATTATTTGTCAAATGATATCCAGAATGAGTTTATTCAGTGCTGTGCAGACAAAGTCACAGATGTGATATTAGATGAGAGGGAGAAATGCAAATATTTTTCAATGATTGTGAATGCAACGCCTGATACAGCTCATATTGAGCAAAATGTTTTTATTTTAAGATACGTCTTACAGGACAAATTGACAGGAAAATATGAGGTAAAAGAGAGATTTCTGGAATTTGTAGATTGCAATAAAAAAACTGGTGAAGATATTGCAAATATAATTACTTCTACTCTTCAGAAACATAAAATACCACTGATGTGCTGTCGTGGACAAGGATACGACAATGGGAGTAATATAAAAGGTTCAGTCAAGGGAGCACAAGCTCGAATTCTTCAACATTATCCACTTGCTACTTACTCTCCCTGTGCTTGTCATAGTTTGAATTTATGCGGTGCACAAGCTGCTGAATGTTGTCCTCAAGTGATAACTTTCTTTGGGATAGTGCAAAAACTGTATAACATATTTAGTAGCAGTCCTCAAAGATGGGAAATTTAAAAAAAAAATATTGGTTCGTCTTTTCATAGCATGTCCCAAACGCGCTGGTCAGCTAGAGTGGACTGCATTAAGCCATTCGCAACCCAGCTTCCTGGTATAATCAAATCAGTAGCTGATATAAGGAACCTAAATTTGTCTATAGAAAATCGCGCTGATCTAAATGGGATTATTTCATATATGGAATCGTTTGAATGCATTCTGATGTCCACTATATGGTTCAAAGTACTTACTGCTATCAATTACACCAATCTTGTTTTGCAAGCACGGAATGCTACATTGGATGTAGAAGTGACCAACATCAAACAACTAATTGATGAATTAAAAACTCTTCGAGATAAATGGGATTCTATTATGGTGGAGAGTAAATTAGTTGCAAACACCTTAAACATTTCTTAAGAACTTCCAGAACCTAGACGAAAAATTAGGAAGCGATTTGCTGATGAGACACCTGATGAAATTTCTCTATCAAATTCTGAAAATAATTTTAAACAAAACGTTTTTTATATATTATTGGACTGCATTATAGGGAATATCAGTAGACGGTATGAAGCTGCATATAAAATTGACGAAAGTTTTAACTTTCTCTGGAAGTATAATCATTACGAAGAGGAAGAAATTCGCCGAAGGAGTAAGGATTTTGTGAATAAATACAAGGATGATGTTTCCATGGAGCTGATCGATGAGCTTTTGCATTTGAAATTTATCCATGATGTTAACATCAAAAATGATTTCGACCCCTTTCTTCTTCTCAATAAAATCAACGACCTGAAACTTATATTTCTTTTCCCCAACATTTGTATTGGCCTGAGAATTTTTTGTACATTACCAGTTACGGTAGCACAAGCTGAACGGTCTTTTAGCAGACTGGCGCTTATAAAAAATGATCTAAGATCAACAATGACGCAAGGTAAAGTTTCTGGCTTGGGAATTTTAGCGATGGAGTGTGATTTAGCAAAAAATATCAATTTTGACAGTGTAATTGCCGATTTTGCCAGTAGGAAAGCGAGGAAAGTTTTAATCTAACTTACAGGTTTTATATATTTTAATTTTGTTGTAGTTAAATTATATATAATTTTTCACTGTATTGTATTTAATATATACTTGCAAATAAAATGCTGTATATAGTCAAATTAAAAAATTATTTGTATCAAAAGTAGTATTATTCATATGTCTGAAGCCCTAAGGGGGCCCGTCAGTTTGATATTACCCCAGGCCCGGTACCAGCTCTCCACGGCCCTGTTTGACACTTAATACAATAAATAGAAAGCCTGGAAGCGACAACAACTTGAACAATAACAAAAAACTGAACACGAATGTTTTAGCTAAAATAAGGGCAAATCCTAACATTTCTGAGCGAGATTTGGCACTAAAATGCAAAACTAGCAGACAAATGGTTCGGACTATCAAGAAAAAGCATAAAATCAAGTCCTTCAAGATGTATAAAGCCCCAGATTGCAATGCTGAAGAAAATTTAGTGGAAAAAAGTCGTGCAGGAAAATTATACAAATTATACAAATTGTGTAGAAAAAAAAAAGTATAATTATGGATGATGAAACTAATGTAACATTAAATTGCAAAACGATTCCAGGACATAATTTTTATATGGGAGTCTCTCGGGAAAAGGTAAAGGCTAAACTTAAATCATTAAAACTAAAAAAAATTCCCCCCAAAAATTATGGTTTCACAAGCCATATGTCAATGTGGATTAAAAACACAAAGTTTCGTCACTAAATCCAAAATAAATAGTGAAATCTATAAAAAAGAGTGTCTTAAAAAGCGCCTTTTAAATTTTTGCTACCCTAACCAAAACTAATCACACACTGAGTCAAAGTTTACATAAGCGGCACAAAAACTTTCTAAAAATACCTCGAAAGTTTTAAATTATAGTTTCAATAATCTATTTTTTTTTGTATGTATATAAATATAAAAAACAAATTTCTATAAACATAAAAAAGTTGAAAAAACACTTTGTAACAAATTTAGTTTTTGTTCTTTTGTACAAATTATTTTATTATTTTATATCGTGTTTGTTAAAATTACAATATTATACAACCTGGCTGGAGCAAAACGAACACAAGTTATCTTACCCCGTTAAGCTTATAACTTTTAAACATTTAAAAAATATTTGTACAAAATTGATTATAAACAAGATAGTAAATGCACGCGAATATTTATCAAAATACTTGAGCATATAATAATTCCATGCAACAAATTTAAAAACAAAATACAAACTAAGTTAAAAATAATGACTATGAAAGTTATCCACAACAAATTTAGTTGCATTTTTATTTTATATAACCAAACAAAAATAAGTATTAACGACAGTTTTTTTAATTTAAATAATATATTTTAGTAACAAAAGTCAAAGACAATTAAATAATGATTTTATGAATCAAAGACAATTAAATAATGATTTTATGACGATTTTAAATGTTATTTTTTTACTTCAAAACTATTAAATTTTTTTTCAAAAAAAAATATTTTAAGTCCGTGTTTTAAAACCCCGTTTTGATTCAGCCTTAAAATTCTCCAAACATCAGTTCAAGTCAAAGATTTTATTTTTGTTCAAGGTCCACGATATTGAGCTTGGTAAGAATCATTTTTTAAGATGGATTTAAAAACGAAAAACAATTTTCTGAAAATTCGATAAGATATTTATGAGAAACTTTATTTATGTAAGTTTGAAATAGTATTGAAGACAAGTCACGCTTTACTTTAAACATAAGTTGTATCATATGGAGACAGGTCACGCTTTACTTTAAACATAAGTAGTATCATATGGAGACAGGTCACGCTTTACTTTAAACATAAGTAGTATCATATGGAGACTTTAAACATAAGTAGTATCATATGGAGACTTTAAACATAAGTAGTATCATATGGAGACTTTAAACATAAGTAGTATCATATGGAGACTTTAAACATAAGTAGTATCATATGGAGACTTTAAACATAAGTAGTATCATATGGAGACTTTAAACATAAGTAGTATCATATGGAGACTTTAAACATAAGTAGTATCATATGGAGACTTTAAACATAAGTAGTATCATATGGAGATAAACATAAGTAGTATCATATGGAGACTATTAAGCTTAAAAATATATAAAGTTCACGTAAGATGGTCAAACAGATAACAGAAATACGTAAAAAGGTTCTTCTCAATTATTTCTGTTTGACCAAAACATTCTACAAACAATCTACAAAAACATTTTTAATATCGATTTTTTTAGTTTAGTTATGGTACATGCCCATGTTAATTACTTGTTTAGAAAAAACGGGGAAATATACATTTTAATATAACTACACAACAACAACAAATTTTAAAATGAGTGAAAACGAAACTGGATTTATATTATGTATTATAAAACACCAATTGATTTTTTTTTTAATTGTTTACGTTATTTCATACGCTTTTGGAGTTCCAGCAAAGAATTACCCAGCTAGCACATATACGTTAGTAAAATGTTAAAACAAGGTTGCGAAATACGTTGGCACAACATCGGCCAACGTTGTTTTTATATCATTTTGGTTACAAATATGACGTCGCCAACAACTAAAGTTCAAAGTTGGTACAATGTTGTATTTTACGTAGGCGAGGTGTAATATTTTGTATCAACGTTGATTCATTTATGTTACATCATTCTTGGTTTATATACATTAGGACAACCATAATCCATATACATTGAATCAACTTTAGGGTATTTGCAATGTGAATCAACTTTTGGTTATTTGCAACCCAAACGTTAAGTTTGAATTGTAAAAACAATCAATTTTTTATTGCTTAATAATAGTATATAATATATACTGTCCTCCAAAACATTAGCAACCAAATAAAAAAATGCTTTTTTTCTACTTTGAATACTAAGGGTGGAATGCAAGAAGCGAACTTGAGTCAAGCTCGACTTGAACTTTACATTGCAACCAATAGCGAGAGAGTATGGGTTTTCCCCTCAAAAAATACTCTGCCGCTAAGGTTACAAAGTAAAGTTCAAGTCAAACTTGACTCAAGTTTGCTTCTTGCCTTCCACCCTAATTACAGCAATTTTATTTTTTTAATTACGCTTTGAATACAAAAAATGCGTAATATGACATATAAGAAAAAATATTTGTACATAAGACTACTTAAAAATAAATAAACTTGTTTTTTTGTTTTTATTGGTATTTTAACGCAAAAACGTGGTCCTCCATTTGCAACTTTTTATAACTACTCACAAAAACTCACGGAAAATCAGCAGCATAAGTGTGGAAATAATGTCCAAGGGAATTGTAGTGTTGTAATTATTAGTACTTAACCAATGAGAATCAACTAATTGTTAATTTTTGTCCAAAGATGAATATGGATTGTTGCAATTATTACAATATTAATTTAAGAACGCGTATATATATATATATATATATAGAACGCGTATATGCTGATTTGGATTTTAATGGCAGGAAACAAGTATAATTTTCGAGAACATATTGTAAAAGATTACAAGAAAAGTAAAAATACTCCATTAACAAGTCAATTGTATGTAGAATAATCAAACGATTTAACAAAGGTAGTCCTTTAGAAACAAAACATAAGGGCGGAAGACCACTCAAATCGAATAATTTTTCTATCGTTTCACCGGTAGAAAAAAATATTTTAAAATATTTTATTGTTAAAAAAAATCCTTTTGACAGCGCTAATGATACTATTAAAAAACTTTCCGTGTCTCAAAATAAGTTTGTAGACAGTTACAACTTTCAGGACTTTTGAGCTTTAGAGCAGCAAAAAAACCTTTCATTTCTCAGAAGAATAGAAAAGTTAGAATTGAGTTTTCAAGTTCTCATAGAGACTGGATTATGAATGATTGGAATAGAGCACTCTGAAACGATGAATCAAAGTACAATTTGAAAGGTCCTGATGGAAATTTAAAGGTACGTAGACCTAAAGGTAAACGCTTAGATCCTTAACACATAAGAGGAGAAATCAAGCATGGTGGTGGAAAAAGTGCAATGGTTTGGGGCTGTTTTTCTGGTTTTTGTGGAGTTGGACCTATTTACCGAATAAATGGCATAATGGATTAGTATGTTTATCGTGATATTTTCAAGGAAAACGTGGTTCCTCATACTGATAATAATATGCCTCTTTTATGGACATTTCAACAAGACAACGACCACAAACATATCTTTAAACTCGTTAAAGAATGGTTTGAAACAAATCAAATTAAAGTAATGAAATGCTTAGCTCAATCACCTGATCTCAACCCGATTGAAAATGTATAATATAGATAATAATAATATAGTAATAATATATAAATCATTCTTGAACTGTGTAAGATAAAAGATTTTATCTAAATTGTAATTAAGTGTGGTAAGTATCATTAATTTAAATAATTGTAAGTTGATACTTACTAGCGATACAGAGAATTTTTTAAAGTATCAGAAATCATGCATGTTAGTTGAAGTATGGTCTGTTCATAACCTTGTGTGCCTTCATGGAAGTTTTATAGTAATTTTCAACTTTTACTTTGTTAAAACTCAGTATGAGTTGAATTTCGGCAAACACATGCAGGGTACTTTCAGTTTCTTGTGTTATAAAAGCATAACCAACAGTTTGACCTGTTCTATTTCCTTCTTTAACGAACAAAGAAAATAAAGGCATTCTTAATTTGTTTGTGCTATATGTGCAATCAACCATTAATACATTAGGAAACATTTTAATGACCTGTTTTTAGTCTCCACTTATAAATAAAAAGATATGCTAAAGATCTGGAAGAAAAAGATATGCTAAAGGTCTGGATCAACTTGAGCTGATGTCATAGCTTTAGGATCTTTTTCACCTAAATTTCAAAATCAAACTTAAACTTGACTAATTTAGATCAAATAAGTTAGTGATTTATTAGCTAATAACTAATTTATATCTCATTTGATTAAAAGCACATAAAACTTTATTAAGTCAGTGATTTTAATTTTCCATTCCATTGTTTTAAACATAACCAAACTTGAATTTTGATTTCTCAAAAAACTTTTATGTTAAAAATTTTTATTTATGCTGAACAAATCATTTGATGTTATAACTTTGCTTTCTTTATTTTGCTAATATT